GTTTGGTTCTTGACCAAAAGTCAATTGTAATGGGGAGAATTCATGATAATTGGTCGACCTTATGCGCACAAGTGCTGCTGCATGCAATATAGCATGCCCCCACATAGACACAGATAACTTTGTTCTCATTAGTAATGGTCTAGCTATCAATTGCAGACGTTTAATCAATGATTCTGCTAGACCGTTTTGAGTGTGAACATGAGCAACTGGATGTTCAACTATTATACAGTAGACATACAATAATCATTAAATGCTTGAGATGTAAACTCACCAGCATTATCTAGACGGATTGTCTTTATTGTATAGTCTAGAAATTGTGCTTTCAATCTTATTATTTGAGCCAGCAATCTCGCAAAAGCCATGTTGCGAGTTGATAATAAACACACATGTGACCATCTTGTAGAAGCATCTATCAAGACCATATAATATTTAAATGGTCCACATGCAGGTTGAATTGGTCCACATATATCACCCTGTATACGTTCCAGAAACACAGGGGATTAAATTCCAACCTTAACTTTTGATGGTTTAATGATCAACTTTCCTTGAGAACAAGCAGCACAAGAGAATTCCTTTGATTGAAGGATATTTGGGCTCTTTAATGTGTGCCCATGTGAATTCTCAATGATTTTGCCCATCATATTAAATATGGGATGGCCCAACCGGTCATGCCAAATGATAAAATCATTAAAATTAGTAAACCTTTTGTTTACTACGGCATGTGATTCAACTGTACTTATACTTGTATAGTACAACCCAAAAGAAAATACAGGTAATTTTTCATGCACAATTTTCTTCTCTACATTAATTGTAGTAATGTAAAGGTATTCAACCTTTCCTTCATTAGCCGTCTCAACATGATAGCCATTTTGGCGAATAACTTTGAAACTTAATAAGTTTCTTTGAGACTTACTACAATATAATGCATTATTAATGCTTAATATTGTCCCTCCAGGTAGTAATAAGGTCGCTTTTCCAGAGCCCTCAATTAATTTTGTACTACCTGATATTGTGTTGACATATGCCATTTTCATAACCAAATTAGAAAAGTATTTCTTTTCTTTTAATATTGTATGCGTTGTAGCACTATCAAGAAGGCATACATCTCCATTACTCATCTTAAATCCAACTAACAACTGGGGAATTCTATTAATTTTCATTAAAATAAAATACATCAAAAGAAGGAACAAACAAAATTAACAAAGGAAATTTAAATACTTCAACATGAATAACATAATAATTAAAAATACATAAGTAAAATATTGACGAATTTCATTCCCCAGCTAAAAGATCAAACATTAGTTTCGATCTCCAAAAAAGTCATCAACTTCCATATGAGTAATGTCACCAAGGCCATCAAAAACATCATCCTTTAAAGCCAAATTTGCTTCAACATCTTTATCGTATTTCTGAGATGTTCCCGGCTTATCATCATCTTTAAGAGTCATATGTGACTCAGCTCGAGCATTGGAAGAGGAAGCACCACTTTTATTTCCTTTCTTTTTAAAGGAATTTTGATAGAGCCTTACAAAATGCTCATGTGTGCAGCATTCATTCTTCTAATGGCCTTTCATACCACAACGACGACAATTACTTTTTGAGGGGTTATTTTGAGAACTCATGTTGTTCTCCCTTTTATTATGACCACCACCTTGACGATTAGTGTATCGTCTTTTATCTTTGCCACGTCCCCGTGCATTATTATATCCCCGATGATCATCTCTTCTTACTTCAGATTGATCACGTGCTTCCACCACATTTGCCTCCCGTAATGGAGCAGCTCCAGTGGGACGAGCTTCATGATTTTTCATTAAAAGAGCATTATGTTGCTCAGCCACCAAAAGACATGAGATTAATTCAAAATATTTCTGAAAACCCTTTTCACGATATTGCTGCTGCAATATCACATTCGAGGCATGAAAAGTAGTAAGTGTCTTTTCCAACATGTCCTCATCTTTTATAGTCTCCCCACATAATTTCAACTGGGAGGTTATCCTGAATACAGCAGAGTTGTATTCAATTACGATCTTAAAATCTTGAAACCGTAAATGCATCCACTCATAACGAGCTCTTGGCAACACTTTTGCCTTTAAGTGGTCATATCTCCCCTTTAAATCAGTCCACAATTCAAGTGGATCTTTCACCGTCAGATATTCAATCTTCAGGCCCTCATCAAGATGATTACGAAGGAAAATCATAGCCTTCGCCTTATCTTGACTCGATGCTTCATTTCCCTGAGTAGTAGTGGCATCAAGACCTTTAGCAGCCAATTGAATCTCAGCATCGAGTACCCATGAAAGATAATTCTTTCCAGAAATATCTAATGCCACAAACTCAAGTTTGGATAAATTCAACATAATGAAAATTCTGAGAGAATATGTGAATTAAATGAAAATATTTATATAGTACCTTTGCAAGTAGCAATTTCGTGCTGATAACGTGTTGTAAAGAAAGCTCAGAATATAAGATGAAAAAGACAAGAAGTATAAGATAGAGGAGATAATTTTCTTATTCAAGTATATCATACAATGGTGAATGATATCTCTATTTATAGTGTTGAGATATCATAGTCAAAGGTCATCTTGAAATTTTACATAGTTATCATCAAGGTTCATATCACCTTGATATCTTATCACATTGGAAACACTAATACATTAATCCAATTAATTGTTGGATAACTCTAATGGATCATCCACATATACAATGGATTTACAACATTTACTATTATATCTTCTTTTTTTACCCTCCCTAGTTGCTTTCTTTCAGTTTTGCTTCCCTTAGTGACTCGAATTCACAACATACAAGTTAGAAGTAAGAGATGCTTACCATCCGAGCAACTCTCTCCCGTAATATATTACTATATCTATTTTACTTTATCATAATTTTTGGTTTTGTAATCCATATTTCCGTGTTCTGATTTAACATGCTGCAAATCGTTCCATATTTTTATAAAGCAATTTGAAGGAAAATGCAATATAAAGAAAAATTGTTTGAAAACATGTAGTAAATTCTAAAGGTACACAAGAACACAAATATCTCTGAGATGCATGAAAGAATACAAATGAACTGATGTATATCTATAAACACATTTAACTTATGTGGAGTTCTCTAACCGACAAGCTTCACTTAAAAGTTATAGTGATGATACAACGATCTACCATACGCTACCACGCATCTTATACCTGGCCAAAGTTATAAGACCTGAACTACCTAATGGATCTACTAGTATACTGTGAAAAGGGTTCATCTAAAAAGTATGACATTTGCTACCCATGGTGGCTCTCCCCCATATTGTTGTTCAATACTACTCCCAAAATATACCGACTCTTATGTTTTTAAAAATGCTGATTCTGTGGTTTGAGATTAGTGCTCAAAATATTTAGTTCAATGGATATCTTGGAAATCTTAGTTTTCCTAATTTCTTCACTTAGAAAGTTATTTCTCTTTAACTGAAAAGTAGTCTAAAGGCTTTTTTGAAATCTCAGTTTCCCTTATTTTTTAAATGTGAAAGCATTTTAAGTTCCTTTGAGAATACTTAGTTTCCATATACTGCTTTGAAGGAATACTTTACTTTACTCTGAACTCAACTCGAGCTTAAGTCTTGAAATGACATTTAAAATATTTTTGAAAGACTTATGAAACTTGAAATTAACTTCTTCTGCTTATCTTGAGTCCTTACTCAACTGATCTACAAGACTTAAAAAAAGTTTAAACTATTTGCAAAAAGCTTCATGAAAGGAATTTAGGAATTCTCTAGACTTAGCTCTAACTTTATATTTGAAGTTGAAGTTATATATTCAAGGTTGTAAATTCATGTTTCTTGATAATTTCTATATGATTAGAACTCATATAGAATAGTTAGAATCATTAGGATGTGTTAAAACACCTTGGAAGGGCTTAATCGGACTGAACTGCAAAAACTAGGTGAAAATGCCAATTTGGATGCGTTTGGAGTGCGGCGCACCAACCTCATTTGAATGAGGCTTATTTCTGGCGCACTGCTGGTGTGCCGCCCCAGCCTTTCTGGCAAACATGAGGCGCGCTGCGCTAGCTCTTCCCCAGGTGACGCCTAACGAATTTGTCTTCTCGTTTTCTAGGCTTAAATCATTCTAATTCTATCTCATTTATCGAATTCACCTTAGATCTATGTATCCAAATCATATATACAAGTATCTAACCCAAGAAATTCAAGAAAAAACAACTAATTCATCAAGCAACTCTTAAAATATCAACTTACGTTCAAGAAAGAAAGCACTTCAACAATAGTATGCAAGAACATTCAAAAATCCAAACTTTATGGATGAAATCTCATTGAATCAACATGCTTGGCAGATGGATAAGCAAACCCAAAGTTGAGATAGACTCACATACCTTGATAGGGAAAACCCCGACGCATTCCACTCGCTAACCTTGACGTTCTTGGCGAATCCTTGGCTTTTACTCCCTTTTCTTCTTCTTTTCTCTCTTCTCCAAGCCCTAAGCGTGATTTTTATTTTCTAATCTGAACTAAAACTTATTTTTACCCCTAATGAATTCCTAAAAAGAATAGGAAATTAATTGGTGAAAATACTAGTTTCCCTTCATTAAATTCATATTGGGATTTTCCTTACCTCAACAACCCAACTTCCAATGGGCTGATCTCCCTCATACAATATCGAAAATGCGCAAACAGAGCATTGGAAAGACCTATCCAATGTCTTTCGAACAATATCAAGAATTACCTCTAACTCATCCTAAGCTAAAAGTTATAGCCGTTTGAAAATGACCAAAACTCACTTTCTTAACTTAGAAAATTTTCCACATTATTTGTTTCTTTTCCAAATGAATATTTTTAGTTTTTCAACTTATTCCTAGCTAATTCAAATTTGTGAGATGTTAAAATATCTCCCCCTTGGGAAAATTCGTCCTCGAACGAGATTTCTTTCACTAAGCTAAGGATGGTAACATCAGTTCTACATTCAACAAACAAAAGCAACTAATCATATGCTTACTTTTAGTTTATAAAGTACCAAGAAGAAAATTATTACCTTAATCTGCATTAACTCCGGATTCAAAGAGATGTGGATATATTTTCTCCATATTCTCTTCAGCTTCCCAAGTCTCTTCGTCAATAAATTGGTTCCTTCAAAGGACTTGACTGGTGCAACATCCTTTGTTCTCAATTTGCAAACTTGACAATTTAAAATCTGAACCAAAATCTTTTCATAGGATAAGCTATCTTTAATCCCGCATTTTCAGTTAGTACCATCAAAGAAGGATCGCCCATACACTTTTTCAACATAGAGATGTGAATTACTGGATGAACTGGTGCCAACTCTTGGGGTAGCTTTACTTCATAAGCTATATTGCCAATCCTTTTGGCTATGCGATAAGTTCCAATATATCGGGGACTAAGCTTCCACTTCTTACCAAACCTCATAGCACCTTTCATGGGTGAAACCTTCGCTTATACCCAATTATTCACTTCGAACTCCAACTACCTTCTCCTAACATCTTTGTATGAATTTGACAACTTTGTGCCGTTTTCAGTCTCTCTTGAATTACCTTCACCTTCTCCATAGCTTGGGGAACTAGATATAGTCATATCAGCCCTTTTTCACCAACTTATAACTACAATAGGAGATCTGCATCTTCTCCTATAAAATGCTTAGCCATTTGGATGCTCGAATGGTAACTGTTGTTGTAAGCAAACTCAATGAGATGTAAGTGATTATCCCAATTCCTCTTTAAATTAATCAAGCAATCCCTCAACATAATTTATAACCTCTGGATGGTAGGCTCCATTTTCCCATACATCTAGGGATGAAATGTAGTGTTTAAGTTCACCTTTGAACCCAAACCTTTCTAGAAAGATTTCCAGAACTGTGTATTAAATTTTGCACCTCTATCTAAAATGATTGAAACTAGAAAGTCATGAAGCCTCACCACTTCATGAATATATAACTTTGCATAATCCTCTTCCTAATAAGTGGTTTTATCAGCAAGAAGTGGGCTGATTTTGTCATTCTATCGACGATCACCCAAACTGAATCATGATTAGTGCTAGACCTTTGTAACCCTGTGATGAAGTTTATATTAATCATCTCCCACTTCCATTTTGGAAGTTCTATATTTTGAGTCAACCCTCCAGTCCTTTGGTTCTCTACTTTAACTTGTTGGCAGTTCGGGTAAAAAGAAATTTGGCAATGCCCTTCTTCATACCATTTCACCAATATATTTCTCTAAAATCACAGTACATCTTTGTGGAACCCGGATGAATGGAATATCTAGAGTTATGGACTTCCTCCATGATCCTTTCTTAAATTCCATTCACCATCGGTACACATAATCTACTTTGATATCTTAACACATCATCTCCCATTTGTTCAAAAGCTAGTACTATTTGTTTATGAACATTTTCCTTTAATCCAAGTAAAATGGGATCTTGGTCTTGCTTCTCTTTCACATCTAACACTAATGATGGTTCAACCCCATTTATCACCACCATTCCTCCTTCTGTTGAATCCATGAGTCGGACTCTTTTGCCAATTGCTTCTTCTCTTCCTCAAGATGGGTGGTACTACCCATACACAACCTACTTAAGGCATCAGCTACAACATTAGCCTTACCTGGGTGGTAAAGAATGCTTATGTCATAATCTTTGAGAATTTCTAACCACCTCCTTTGTCTGAGCTTAAGCTCTCTCTAAGTGAAAACATATCATAGGATCTTGTGATTAGTAAAAACATCCACACAAACATCGTACAAATAGTGACGCCATGTCTTCAAGGCGAATACTACAACAACCAAATCTAAGTCATGGGTTGGATAATTCTTCTCATGAACCTTCAACTGGTTAGAGGCATAAGTTATAACCCTGTCGTTTGGCATTAACACCCCCCCAAACCTACCCTATATGCATCACAATACACCACAAAACCATGATTACCCTCTGATAAGGTCAAAACTAGGGCAATAGTCAACCTCTTCTTCAACTCCTGAAAGCTTTTCTTACAAGTTTCAGACCATTGAAACTTGAGTGTCTTCTGAGTCAACTTGGTCAAAAGGGACGAAATATATGAAAACCCCTCAACAAACCTTATAGTAGCCATCCAAACCCAATAAATTCCTAATATCAGTTGAAGACGTTGGTCTAGGCCAACTCTGAACTGCTTCTATTTTTTGGGTATCAATTCTAATTCCATCACCGGAAACTATGTGACCTAGGAATGCTACAGACTTAATCAAAATGTCATCAATGAAGATGGTAAAAAACATACCTAAATAAGGATTGAAGACTCTATTCATATGATCCATGAATATTGAAGGCGCATTGGTCAACCCAAGCGACATGACCAGAAACCCATAATGCCCATAT